TTAATGTAGTACCACTATGTGTGCAAAATATTTATCTGGGACAGCTGGTGACGGTGTGCTCCATGTCACTGTTCTTTATGTCAGTCATCTGAGCCTGAGATAATTTTTCCTCAAATAACTATATACTTGCCTTCTCTTTCCCCAAACAACGTGGTCTGCTTATGCATCTCTTACAAATCTTGCATGGGTACAGCATAGCTTTACAGAATAAAACGCCTTCAGGAGTGAGAAGGTTAATCATGCAGTACAACTGGCATAATTGCATGAGTGATTTCTGAATGTGGAGAACAATTAAGTCTCTTCTGGTTCCCTGGGTGAGGGACTGAAACCTGAATAGTCTAGGAGCTTGACAGACAGATGTCATTCAAGGGTGATACTATCCAGGCCATTTCATTCAACTGTTTATCTAAATACATCTTTATTTTCCATGGAGGCTATTAAATAAATGAGGCTGAATTACAATATGTTCTAACGTTAGTTATTGCTTAAAATTTCAGCTAATGAAGCAGGACAATAATAAAGGCAGGCTTCTTATTAACACACAGCAAATTACCTCTGGAATACCATGCTTATTTCCTACATGGATTTTGTTTGGAAGAATATCAAGTAATAGCTAAAGAGGATGGTAAAAAATAAAACAAATAAAATCCAAGCATTTGATTACATAATAGTTGATTAATTAACAATCTCTGACTGAGATGACTGTATATCTTCCTCTTGAATAATCTTGAATATCCATTTGTTTTAGACAGGACTTGTTTTGCTGCATACCATGAGTAAACTAGACAGTCTCTTATAAAGTTCAGAGTGGTTAAATTTTTTTAGGAAGATAGCACAATTCCACACTCCTTTGCTAAAGAAAGGAATTTTCCTCCATCTCTGATACCTCAGAAAATAATACTGCTTTGAACTCTTTCCGTCCTTCATCATCTTTCAAAACATAATGATCTGTATATTAAAATGATACACAGAAAAAAAAGGGTTTTATTGTTTGTTGTTTTATGCAAAGCAGTGACTCATGCAATATTCATTTGCCAATTGCTAACAGACCTTTTTCAAGCACCAACAGATTGCAATAGGTCCATTACCTCAGAGAAATTCTTTATAGGAGCCATGAACCAGCACTCAACAGAAGATGAGTAAACCCTCAGTTGGAAATGTTTTAAATGTATTTGGAAACAGATGCAGAATACTAGATACCATGATTTTGGAAAAACTTGTAGGCAGTAAAAGATAACAAAGATATCTTCAATCTACAGCATAAGTTAAAATAGTATGTAAATGGAAGGTATCATAAATACCACAAACTTGAAGAAAAATTCATCCTGTAATAGTGCAACAAAAAGGGCAGGTTTAAAGAGAACTAGCTTGGTCTTGTAAAATGAATGTATTCATAAGAAAACATCCAAAGAGCTAGAGAATATTCTGAACATGATAGAAAATCTGTAATAAAATGGAAATGCCCTGCTCCTGAGGGTCTGCATCACCCTACATCAGAGGCCCAGAGAGGATCACTCTTTTGGATGTTACAGAAGAAATAAAGAAAAACACAAGGAAATATACTCAGTGGTAGCTGTGCATTAATGTGTTTGTGGGCTAAGTTTTATTGTAATTTTTCCTCTAAGTAGGGTCTTATTTAACTTGGGACCTGTATATAAGGTGGAAAGGCTGTATTTTCCCCACTTAAAATCAGTGATTATTCTGGAAAGACACTAATATAATATTCTGTGCTTGCTGTGTTAAGGGTTTTTCCTCAAGAGTAAAGAAACACACAGTAAATGTTTATGTAAATAAATATTAAAAATATTAAAAATAGAACATAATTGTTGATGGAATTGGTAACTTGGTTACCTAACAAGAAAGGAATCTGGAGTGAAATGGAGGGGGCTGAGTTGAGAGGGTGATAAAGGAGAACTTAATCTACTACAGCTGTCAAAACCAGCAATGTCACAAGAGTATTTAGGCAGAGCTGTTAAATGAAAAATAGATTAAAATCTTAAGAGAAACTTTAAAAAAAAAAGAGCATTGCTACATTCACATTTCACTTCTAGGACTGCTTTCACTTGAACATCCTGTGAGTAATATATCTCAAAATTTTATCTGGTCATCATTTTGCAGCCACATACAATGACACAATGTTAAGGACAGGTCTTGAAAGCTGATCCTGTATTCCTAATGGGACAAAGTTCAATGTCTGTGTGACCTACTCAGCTTTCTATATGAACTGCAAGATCTTTAAAAGCATTTTCTGAGTATGAAAAAATTCAAAGCTTCAAATATGGATACAACCAGGTCCTGACAATCTGAAGATGGAGGAGCATAGGAAGTACTAAATCATCAGAGTGTTATCTGAAATTTTCACATGCCAATGATCACTGCAGTTTGAGATTTCTCAGTTCATAAACTGTATACTTTAAATGGTGATGCAGGTGTCTGAGGAGATAGACACATCTCAGAGACTGATTAAAACATATGGGTTTTATGTATGTGTACTTTAGAGCTGGTATCAATAGTCAGTGGTTTTGAGAATAGCTGAGGAGAAAAAATAAGGAAACTATTTTGAAGTGCTCTATTTATTTTGTTGTGTAAATTTAATTTGTACAAAAAAGTGTTGCCGTTCAACAAATTCAGGCAACAAATCAAGAAAACCTTTGTCTAAAAATGTGTTTTCAATTTATTTAAAACACACTGTGTTCCCTGTTTTAGTTAATTTTAGTTTTTTCTTAATTTTTTCCTTTTTTTAGCCAACACAAATTCAATAAAAGATTCAGTCCTACACCCTAAAAGCATGTGTGTTTGTGTGTGTGTGAACACAGGCAGCCAGAGAGAACAACCAAAAATCCATGCCTTAAACACAAGAAATACCTTTATTTCCATTATCTTTCTAACTTCACATCACATTGACTATTTCTGGATTATATTTAAGGAAACCGCGCTCATCAATATAGGAGTAGGAGCAACAGAATTAACTGTTGCAAGAAGATTTTTAAGCTAATATGAAAACTAATAAGAAGACAAGAGATTTTATTCTGTATTCTGGCTGTAAAGAACTGCCAGTATTCAACATGGAGTTGTTTTAACAATGAATGGTACAGGTACAGTTTAAAGGGGTAGAACACAGCATGTGAACATGGTAGTGCAAAAGGTCTAGAGCACTCGGCTCAGCAGGCAGACTCCACAGGAACTTAGGAAAAGATTACTGAGTAGCTTACTGAGCAGCTGATCACAATGAGAAAAATTTCATAGTAAAACTTGATTACAAAACATTAAAATATTAGCATTATCAGATTCCTTCTACAGGAAATCTGTTAGGCAATAAAAATATTTTGGAGTCATAAATTCACATGTTGATCACATCTATGAAGGAATACATGCTTAAATTCTTCCATCGCTAGCCTTAGTTGACTCTATTTGTGTCATCATGAGCTTGACATCCAATATAGAGTAAAAATTAACCTGGCTATTGCAGGGGAAGAGGAAAGGTGGTATGCATTATATTCCTTCACTTGAAATTGTTTATTTTTGCTATGTGCTATATGAAGTACTCAGAGCTACTTGTTCTGGTGTTAATTGCCAGCAGCAGCACAACTCTTACAAGATCATCTCTGTCTGAAAGTCATTGACAGACAATTTGAGGTTGTAAACAAAAGTCAGGCCTGCCATATTTCCCAAATGAGCTTATTACAGAATCACAGAACATTCTGAATTACAAGGGACCCAGAAGGGTCATTGAGTACAAGTCTTAGCCATGCACAGGACATTCCCAAGAGTCACAGAATGTGCCTGAGAACACTGCCAGAACAATCCCCAAGAATCACACTGTGTGCCTGACAGCAATGCTATTTAGGAGAAATATGAAGTATCAAATATGATTATAGAATCATATTAAAAAGCAATGGTTGTAAAGTGGTTGTCCTATAATGATAGATTGCAAAAGCAATTTTTAGCACGTTCTCTTGCTGAAAATAAAAACATCTGTGAAATATACTACAAGATAATACAAAGAAAAAGAATACAGCAAAAAATTAGTTAATTTTGGAATAAATATTTACATAATGTTGTTAGAATAATTTTATTTAAATTAGTCTATGGGAGGTTTTTCAGTATTCATAGCAAAACTATTGTTATCTCTTCACAATGCCTGTAACTTCCTAAATTAACTGTATGGAATTCACCTAGTTATTTCCTCAGTTCTTTTAATAGAAAAATGGAAGACAGAAAAACAGATAGTCTTTATAACAGGTCTAGATTTCTAAGAAACTGAGTCCTAGACCAATTAATTGATAAGGAAGTTAATTTCCAAATCGAGGACCCTCACAGATAATCTGAGAGCTACCCTGTTTACATTGAAAGTGTCAAGGACAAGTGCCTGCTGCTGTCTACAAGTGTCCAAGTCTTAAAACATTAGGGGATTTATAGGCTAAACCAAACACCATTAATTTAATCAGGAAACATTTACAAAAGCAGTATACATCAGGTAATTTGTACTCTGAATATACAACCCATCTTTAAAATGATGTTTTTGAAGATAAATTAGCCAATGATATAAAGCACTACAACTGCAATAATAAGCACCACAAAAAATCCATTTAAAAATTATTAATTTTGTATTCAGAACAAGTTTTCAACAGAGTGAAGTGTAGCCTCAGGTGTAATTTACATTGAACAACTACGCATTATTTTATTTTCTTTCAGTGCTCATTTAGCAAACATTGACCACCTATTTCCTTGAAGAAACGTTATGCAGATGGTAACGAGGCTGTTGTGCTGAACACCTGTAGGTCCACAGTTAGTGATAATTGGGATGGGGCTGTGGCCGAGCCTCATCCCTAATGGGCTACATCTGTGCAGGACAGGTGACTAATATTGAAGGTAACAAGACATGGAGTGCCCAGATGCACTGACCAATCACAAAAAAAGTAGACAGGATACACAGGTGCAAGGCATGAATATGAGGGGCATAAAAGGTTGGGCTAAACAACCTTTACAACAAGAGTAGAGCAGAGGCTTGGAGCTTTCTGGAGTGTTATAGTGTTGCTCTTCATGGGTTGAAGCTTTCTGAGGTTGTCTGGTGATACTCTGTGTGCTGTGGCCATCTCAACTGTGACATATGCTGGGATAAACACTAAATACAGGTGATGTTGGTTCTGTTTTCCATCTTGTTTGTTTTCTCCTATCTTTAATGTTAGGGGTTTTTTAAAGTAGTCATAATTTACATATATTTTTAATTGTGTGTTGGATTGTTCTCAGTCTACCAAATATTATGAAGTCTAGTAATGATCTGAGAGTAAAATAAAGCAGTAATGGCTCTTCCTGGGGACGGGAATGCAAAATGGGGAAAAACCCAGCAACAGTAAATGAAAGGGACTAGTGGTATCAATTTGACATGGTAAAGAAAGATGGTGGTGAGAGTGGTGCCAAAAGCCCTCATGTTCTCAGAGAAATGGTTCTGGTAGGCTTTGCTACTCTAAGGAGTTGTGGAGGCTTTGGGTATGGCCTGTAAGTTGTATGTAATGGTAACCGATTCCATGTGGGTGATGTTCATATGTGTTTGTGCTTGAAGAGTTATTTTTTTGTTTAAGATATAGTTTTGTGTATTATGATTCATCATTATTGTTCTTGGTTCCTTGATGTTCATTGCTTGGAAGAGTAATTGAACAATGGTAGGCTTTATGTAATTCCCTGAACTAGCTGTATACAGTAACTGATCAATTCTCACCAACACTGTGAAAACTATGTGTGGTGTGTTGTCTGAATATGTAAAAGGTGTCAACATCTGCACACTGATTGTGTTCCAGTGCCTTGGCTGTCCTCTGACAACTAGGTAGAGAATACAAGCAGCTCCTACTTCCCCCTTGTATATTTCTGCTTGTCTCTTTATCTCCAAATGCAGACTTATGTACAAGAAAGGTCAAAATACAACAGCTTAGAAGGCAATAAAGTAGGTGGTGTCCATGTAATCACAATGACATAATGGCCTTTTTCTTGAAAATACACTTAACATTGACCATCTCCAATGTTATTTATTGGCTTTCTTGCCTTGAATTCCATAGCTCCAAAATTCTCTCTGATTTTTAATACTCCTTATTTTACATCTTCATGCAGTGAATTTTATCAAAGGTCAATGAAATAAGTTTTCAGTTGTTTTCTGGTGTACTTTGGCCTGTGTCATCTTAATCTGTTTATCCACATTCAAGACCAATGACACTCATCTGAGTAGTTCTGCGCAGTGTTTTTATAAAATAGCAAGATTTATGAGCAAAGGATACAAATGAAACTGATTCTAAGAATGAGGAAACTAAAAATATGTAGTCTTACATGCATCAAACAGAAGATATTAAATATATATTTTGAAAATTCTAGTAACTGTATGATTCAGTCAATTATATTAATATCTTGTATTTTGGTTCACATATGATGAAGAATATTATCTTTCATGATAATGTCACTGACATTTTATACTTAATGTCAATTATTTTCTTTGAAGGTCATTATCTGTGATTGGGGTTTTAAAGTTCTTCTGAGGAATGTGTCCAACATACAAACCAGAATAAGACCTGAACATAGAGAGTGATTTTAATTGTACTCCTTTTGATTTTAGGATAGAAGTGTTCATTACAGCTAAAAAAAAGTTTAATGAAAGGTAAAATAATGTAAGAGACAAAATTCTGCAGAGGTCAGTTACTGGATATTTTTTTAAATCTATTAGTAGTAAGATGTAATAGATAATTTTTAAAAATCTAAAACATTTTTCCTTAGAAAAGGTTGTATTTAGTTCTGTAGGATGGACAAATAAGATTATTATCATTGAAAACAATTTATCTTTCTTTTGTGACTTATTTTAATTATCCTTTTTGAGTACTACCATAGTCTAAAGAAACCTGCATTAAAAAATAACTAATCATAATTAGACATTGCTCTTTACCAGTAAATGAATCTTATTATTATTAGCTGGGTTATCTGGTCATGCAATGAACAGAAAAAAAGGGCCATTGGAAACATATTGTGGTAATTCAGTGGTGATAACTCTTTAAGAGTTATTTTCAATGTAAAAGGGAGATGTCTGCCACAGGCTGCAGGGAATGATGAGAGGGGAAGGCAGATTCTTTTTACAGGAATGGCATAAATGTCATATCATTAAGTACTAATAAGATGGTTAGGAAATTTTTAGCCTTGGAAATTTTGATGATTATGGTATATAAAAAGCCATCCTGAGTAATGCAAGTAAATTTAGTACATACTGGGATAGAGAGGGCTATGTGACCTGCAGATCGTCCTCATAACTCTAGAGAAGAAATAAAAATTATGTCAATGGAAGGTCTAACTAATCCTGCCTATTCCTTCATTTATATAAACTGCTTCATATAAACCCTCTTGTGAAGAGACCTTTCCTTTCGTTCATCAGTTCTAGACTAATAAAACAGCAAATGTCAAAGCTGGAGTGTGCAGTCAACTAAAAGAGCTGGCATTCAGGAAATAGATTGCCATTTAACAGCTCTACATTACTATTATAAGCAAGTACAACTGTTTTCATGAAAGATGTGTACGTTAAATGCAGAACTGCCCTTGTCTAATCAAGACTATATTTCAACACAAAGTATTTTTTAAGCAATGAAAAGGATGATGTCGCTGCTCTATCCAAAAAATAATTGATGTAAGGAGATAAGAGATTTAACTTTATTTTTTCTTATCTAAAATTTATATTCACAGCTTTATAATATATGAGTAAGTTTTAGACTTGTGTACACATTGGCTGTTCACAGAATTATAGAACTTATTCTTAGCTGGAAAGGACCCATAAAAACCAAGTCCAAATTCTTGCATAGCACACCTCAAGAATCAGCATGGGTCTGACAATATTGTTCAAACCCTTCCTGATCTCCTGATCTCTGTCAGGCTTGGTGCAGGGACTACTTCCCTGGAGAGCCCCTTTGAGTGCCTACCCACACTCTGAGTGGAGACCCTTTTCCTAATATCCAGCCTAAAGTGCCCCTAACACAGCTTCTTGTTGTTCCTTTGTTGCTTTTGCTCTGATCACCAGAGGGAAGACATCTGTTCCCCTTGTGAAGAAGCTGTAGACCACAATGATGTCCCCCCTCAGTCTCCTATTCTCCACGCTGAACAAGCCAGGTGACCACAGATGCTTCTTACATGGCTTTCCCTTTAAATCCTTCACCATCTTTGTAGTTTTCTTCTGGACACTCTCTAATGCCTTTGTATTTTTATTACATTGTGGCACCCAAAACTGCCCCCAGCACTGGAGATGAGGCTGCTTCAGTGCAGAGCAGAGTGGGACAATCCCCTCCCTTGCCAGGCTGTCCCTGATGCCCCCAGGACAGGGTTGGCCCTCCTGGCTGCCAGGGCCCTGCTGACTCAGATCCAGCTACCCATAAACAGGACCCCCAGGGCTCCTTTCCCCAGTGCTGCTTTCCAGGATCTCATTCCCCAGTCTGTCCATACATCCAGGTGTAGCATCTGGGGTCCTTTCCCCAGTGCTGCTTTTCAGGATCTCATTCCCCAGTCTGTCCATACATCCAGGTGTAGCATCTGGCACTCTGTTCAACTTCTCATACTAAGTATACTTTCAGGTCCTCCATTCAAGTCACTTACCAAGATGTTAAAGAATTAATATGTATGTGTAGATATTTAATTGTAGATAATTCATATAGGCTTTCATTTAATATTACTGTTAGGAGAAAAGAAAAAATTGTGTGTTGGCCTTTATGGCAGGCTATCTGGATTCATGCTCATGAATTTCAGATTTCCAAGATATAGCTTAGATTCTGCGGATAGTTGACACTTTGAAATAGAATTTCAGTACTCAGAAGTGTTGCATAATTTTCTGTTTCATTGGAAGTACTCAACAAGTTTTATGAATGTTTGTAATGGTTTTTTATGTGTCCTTTATCACAGGAAAAGTGGGAACTTATTTGCCTAATGTCAGTTAATAAGTTTTACAGAATTGTAAATTTATTTGGGAAGAAAAAGAGAGCTCAGTCTGCTATATATGCACTGGATGGGAAAGCATGTAATTGTATGGTTACATTTTCTTTCAATCCAAGATTTACTGTCTAAGTGAAAGGCATGACTAGCAAGCAGTTAGAACACCAGCTCTGACACAGCTTCTACGCCCAGAATGTCTGTAGATTTGAAGAAAATATGAGAACAGGATCTACTATATAGTCTTTTTGTTGCTCTGTCTTTTATCAGTGGTCAAATTCTCAGTTTTCCTGCCTGCACTAGGACTTTCTGAGCAGTCACTGAAGTATGAGAAAAGTAAGGTTTGAAGAGAGTAAGAATTATTTATTATTATTTATTATTTATTCTGCACTACTGCTCACAGGTTTAGGAGGACATCGTTGTCTAGACAAAGAACTGTCCTGGAATACTATGGATAACTCAGGCTTTGGGAATTTAAATGACAATTTTAAACCTGGTTTGGGTTTTTTTTTTTCCATTCTTCCCCAGTGGAGGTTTCCTGCTTTAATCATTTACTTAGCTGGATTTGTAGGTGGAGATGTAGTACTTGGTTAACAACAAGTTTGTTGAAGTTGTCTTCACAGGCCTCTGTGTAAAGGCTCTAAAAATATTACAAAAATCTTAAACTGAAATTTTGCTTTTCTTATTGTTGGTCATTGAATGTATATAACCCTACTGCCAGTCAAAGTGAAAGGTAGTACATAAGTACTTCAATACATGTAACTGCAGTCCCTGGAAGAGCTACTGCAGGAGATGAATATTTTAAAAATCTTGCTGTAGTAAGAATATGAATGTCTCATTTTCTCTGTATGTCAGAATGAGTCTGAACACACATTAGGATGCATTTCTCCGGAGAGAAATACAGTGTCATCTGCTGGGAAAAAACTGTGATCCTGGGCTTCAGGAGTGATTTTTTTCCAAATGTCACATCTAATTAATAGAAGTACTTGCAGTCACAGCACAAGTGTATTTTGTTTGGCACTCTGACCAGGATTTTGTTGGACTACAGTAAGCATTTCGTCATTAATAGAGTGATTATGGGATTCCCCCAACCCTAGGTATTAAAAAGGAACTGCAAGAGAAGATATCTGATGAATTTTTATTTCTGAGAATTTCATAAAGAACTCCACCTTCAAACAAAATGTTGTACTCTTTC